TAGTGTTTCTATGCACCTCTACACACATACTGAATAGAGAAACCCTGAACACACCCTAACCCTAACCCTAACCCTAACCCCAACCCAAACCCCAAACCCAACCCCAACCCTAACCCTAACCCTAACCCTAACCCTAACACTAACCCAAATGGGGAAAGCCATTGGAGAGCTTGAGTCCTAGCAGATTCTTTGTTCTGTATTCTGTGAAAATTAAGTCAAAGATGTTAGGGTCCAGTCCCTTTGCTTCTCTCGTCATTCTGTAAATAGTCTTATAAGACTATAGGGAAGGACATTATTTTTATGATTTAATGAGCTACTTCTGAGAAAGCTAGTGTTTCACCAGCTCATTAGAAACGTCTGGGACGGCTAGGGCAGAATTAAGGCTTGGGTCACCCAGCTGAAACTAACGTCAATGTTTCAGTTATTCATTGATGTTCTTCGGACTCTCAGACACACCTCCACTGGTTACTAGGCAACCACAGCTTATTGAAATTAGTATACATTAAGCATAAACTTTATGTGTGAGTATGAAAGGGATCTGAATATTTTAGTGTGAAGGCAATCATGAGCTGAACTAGCCTATTATCTTTGGTATTAGGTGAGACAAAATGTGAGGGCCTCGAACATCTTTCAGAAAGTGGATTAATAAGATTTTACTGAAAAGGCTTTGTGCTTACAGGTGACAACCTACACACAGCAGCCTCAGCGCTGGTCAATACAGAAAATGTCAGTTATTTTTATCCAATGGAGGAATTCCTGTTAAGAACTGAGTTCTGACAGAGATTGACAAGCCCTGCGTCCGAGGCCCCTCCACTCCTGGTATGGTAGAAAGGGAGAATCCGAGAGAAGGGGAAGGTTTTAGATTAGGGTCATTTTACCATTGTGTTTCCTGCCAGAGGAGAACTCAAGGTCTGTGGAGAGGGGCCCGGGACTCAGGTGGTGGCAGGCTTTGTCTCTCTCCTGGTGGAACCCACTTGGAGGCGGCATGTGAACGGAGGGCTGAGTCTGTGGCCGGATAGAACAGGGTGTAGTCTGTTGAACTGGCCATGAGAGAGTCATTTGCCGTGGCTGAATGGGAAGAATGGAAGAATGCAGCCGGATCTGGAATGTAGCAAGGCTTTTTTCTCTCCAAATGTGTCTTTTGTAGATGCTACTACCCTGGGAAGAAATTCAACTTCAGAAGGGAAACCATGTGATCCTGGAGTTTATATTGATTAGGAAGGCATGGTGTAATATAAAGACCTGTTCTGAGAAAAAGACAGCCACCTTACTTATCTATGCCACTAGAATTGGTATAAAAATGCATGTATTTATCTGAGTCTGCAGGCATATTATAAACACACATAGCCCTAACCGGTTTGGCTCAATGGATAGAGCGTCGGCCTGCAGACTGAAGGGTCCCAGGTTCGATTCCGGTCAAGGGCATGTACCTTGGTTGCGGGCACATTCCCAGTAGGGGGTGTGCAGGAGGCAGCTGATCGATGTTTCTCTCTAATCGATGTTTCTAGCTCTCTATCCCTCTCGCTTTCTCTCTGTAAAAAATCAATAAAATACATATTTTTTTGAAAAATAAACACACATAATCATGGTAAACTTCCTAGCCCACTGTTACAGAATTGTTAGGAATTAACAGAATAGAGAGGTACATTATTCCTCTGCTTAGATGATTTGAAACCATCAGATTCAAAGTTTAAGATTGTGCTAAAATGAACTATACAGATTCAAAAGTCTGGTTTTAAAAGTTACAAGATCAATTGATGGTTAAAATACAAGCTAAAACAAACTGTCACTCACATGAACAGACCAATATTAAAGCACATTATCATTAATTTTTGTTAATTCACCATAATCCTTATTTTTTTGTTAGGAAAACAACACAGTTTTAAAAGTCATACTCACATAAAGAGAAATAGCATTATGCAAACTCTTCTGAGGAAATAAAGGGCCAATTGACCAACAAAAGACAATTTAACAAGGCAGGGACAGAACTAGGAATGCCAATGGAATTCTTATTTTTTTCTAAGATACCATACAGTACTCAAAGACAGACACAGCAGTGTACATATGCTCATACTATAAAAAATTCTTTTCCACCCTAGCTGGTTTGGCTCCTGCGGACTAAAGGGTCCCAGGTTTGATTCCAATTGAGGGCACATGCCCAGGTTGGGGGCTCAATCCCCAGTGTGAGGCATGCAGGAGGCAGCCAATCAATGATTCTCTCTCATCATTTATGTTTCTATCTCTCTCTCCCCCTCTCCCTTCCTCTCTGAAATCAATAAAAATATATAAAAAATTAAAAAAGAATTATTTTCCCTTTCTGTATTTTCAACACATTATCCACATAACAGTAGTAGACCAAAGATATAGCTATGTATCTTGTTGTTTTAATATACCAGGTATTTATGGAACACATATGTTTAAAAGAAGTGAATATGTTACAATCATTTCAGATGCCATTTTTAGCATCACATTATGCTTGTCACTGCCTGTATTATTGTGGTATTTCCATTAAAGGGCAATTTGGGTTTTCACAAAATTAAATATTCACAGTAATGCACATAAGACAATAAGCAGGATGCGGGCCAGGGGGACGTTTCTGGTTTGTTCAGCCATATGTCTAGCACCTGGCAAAGCTCCTGATAGTCACTTAATTCTCAATAAGTATTTGATGAATAATAAATCTACTTCTACAGATTATAAATAAAACCAAAATCAATCTTATTTCCACAGTCTCTTCTTAGACTCAAAACTTCTCTTGGGGGAAAATAAGATCAAGAATCTAGGAACACTGGCTTGTCTGTTGTTTGGTGGAGGGTAGCTAGGTGGTAGGAGACTCAGATGGGTCTTGGTTGTGGCTTTGTTGCTGATTGTTGGGATGGTACATAACCTCTCTGGGCCTCACCTTCCTCAAATGTAAAATTAGGGAGTTGCTAAGGTCTGAATGTTTGTGTCCCCCTCAAATTCACATGTTGAAATCTTAATGCCGATGTGGTAGTATTAGGAGGTGATTAGACCGTGACCATGGAGCCTTTACGAATGGGATTAATGCTCTTATATAGAGACCCCACAAAGCTCCCCAGCCACTCCCACCAGGTGAGGTGGTGTCTAGTTATGCACCAGGAAAAAGGCCCATCCCAAAGCAACACCAGGCTGCCCCTTTGTTTTGTATTTCCAGCTCCCAGAGTTGTGAGAAACACATTTCTTTCTTTCATAAGCTACCCAGTCTCTCATATTTTGTATAGCAGCCAGAATGGACTAAGACAAGGGTCTAGGATAGACTTTCGAAAAAATATCCCTTATGAAGTCTAAATTCTGTAATTCTAATCTGTGGCAAATTTAACTGGGATATTACTTGGAATAATTATACTTCATTTATCCCAGGCTCCCTGGTGCCTAGCCCAGAGCCAGTGAACCGAAGAGATGTGTAAAATATAACTAACAAATGAATGACTAATCATTACAGGTATAAATGTGTCCTAAGCATCATTAGAATTTTTCACAAAAGGAAGCAGCCTTTCACTATGCATGCTGCTTCTTTTTTTTCCCTACAATTAAAATGAAATCAGAAGATAGCTGTTTGAAAATTTTGAGTTTTATTCATATCAATTATTATTTTTAAACATAGTATTTGAATAGTGTGATTAAAAAAAATTAGAACACATTTACACACTCTCTTAAGAAGTGGTAATAGTATCGCTATGTCTAGGGAAATTTTTATTTTGCATCCTAAACCAACTCTTTCATAATTAATCATAAATACACATTTCATAAATATCCTTAAAGAGATAAAAGGAAGAGAGAAAGAATCCTTGCCTTTAAAACTCTCTTCTCTAGTGGTGATTCTAGATAACATGCAGCCCTAAAGTCCTATCAGTCCACAGTTTTGGACATCATCATTTCCAGGCATATGCTCGCATCAATAAGTGAGTTTTGTGCATAAGTAGGTCTCAGCCACAAGATGCTACATCTCTGAAGCTCTCATTGCACAGGGATAGGGCTAATTTTAGCATCAACCTAAACATAAACTCATTTGCCAATGAGAAAAAGATCTGTAGACTTATAAATAGCTTACTCCTCAGGAAATATTTTAAATAGAACATTCTAGCATTATTATACAGGCATATTTGCATAGGATTAAATTGTAGGATCTTTCAGAGTGGCAGTTTGCTGCAGTGAAAAGATATGGCTTAACGTTCTGGTTCTGCCACTTCCCAGAAACATGACCTTGGCAAGTCATCTGAAGTCGTGGAACCCTAGTTTTCTTATCCAAATAAGGGAGAAATAATAGGCAATCTTAGGGGTTATTAAGAAAGTTAAATAAGAGAATGTCAGTGTGGTGCATCTGCTTTGGTGGCGGGGACCGAGTGGCATGCAGTGGCACAGGTCCCCTCAGTACAGCCCCTGCCCCATAATGGACTCTCTTTTTGCTTGTAGTGGCTGCAGTGTCATCATCTTCACCAGAACCACGCAAGCATATCTCAAAGTACGGCCCTCCCTACTTCATCCAGCACCAAGGAGACTACTGTGAGCTTGGTACAGGCGATTCACAGATTAAGCTTGTCCTGGATGAAAATTTCAGAGAGAGGACAGATGGATAACATAAGAACTTCCAAAATGAGCCCGTGAGTGATTGAATGAGATGGCTTTTCCCTGGGGGGGGGGGGGGGGGGGCGGTGTGTGTGTGTCCTGTCATCTATAGTAAGAACTGATCTTCTAGAAATGACACACAGGGTTATGTGAACTCAGAGATAGGACTGATAACTGTTGACACAGGCGGGGCTTAGCAAGGACTTCACAATGACTAGGCTAGTGCAGTCACCGAGGGGAGCATGTTGTTTGTGGGTGAGGGGGGTTTGGAGAGGGGTGAGGAAGCGAAGGCAGTCTAGGCAGAAGAACCGGCCTGGGAAAAAGTAAAGGCACCAAGAGCATGGCTTAGGGAAGGCAGATCATGCCTCTGTTAGCAAAGGTCAACTGACGAGCAGAGAGGAAATCAACAGGACTCAAAAGGTCTGCTGTGCCTGTGTTATGACACACTTAGGAACATAGGACACAGGCTTAGGAACATAGGACATAGGCTTAGGAACATAGGACACAGGCTTAGGAACATAGGACATAGGCTTAGGAACATAGGACACAGGCGTAAGAACATAGGACACAGGCTTAGGAACATAGGACACAGGCGTAGGAACATAGGACACAGGCGTAGGAACATAGGACACAGGCTTAGGAACATAGGACACAGGCGTAGGAACATAGGACACAGGCAGTAGGAACATAGGACACAGGCTTAGGAACATAGGACACAGGTGTAGGAACATAGGACACAGCTTAGGAACATAGGACACAGGCGTAGGAACATAGGACACAGGTTTAAGAACATAGGACACAGGCGTAGGAACATAGGACACAGGTTTAAGAACATAGGACACAGGCGTAGGAACATAGGACACAGGTTTAGGAACATAGGACACAGGCTTAGGAACATAGGACACAGGCTTAGGAACACAGGACACAGGCTTAGGAACACAGGACACAGGTTTAGGAACACAGGACACAGGTTTAGGAACATAGGACACAGGCTTAGGAACATAGGACACAGGTTTAGGAACACAGGACACAGGCTTAGGAACATAGGACACAGGCTTAGGAACATAGGACACAGGCGTAGGAACATAGGACACAGGCGTAGGAACATAGGACACAGGTTTAGGAACATAGGACACAGGTTTAGGAACATAGGACACAGGCTTAGGAACATAGGACACAGGTGTAGGAACATAGGACACGGGCTTAGGAACATAGGACACGGGCATAGGAACATAGGACACGGGCTTAGGAACATAGGACACGGGTTTAGGAACATAGGACACAGGCGTAGGAACATAGGACACAGGCTTAGGAACATAGGACACAGGCTTAGGAACATAGGACACAGCTTAGGAACATAGGACACAGGCTTAGGAACATAGGACACAGCTTAGGAACATAGGACACAGGCGTAGGAACATAGGACACAGGCATAGGAACATAGGACACAGGCGTAGGAACATAGGACACAGATTGTGCTCTGCAGCTGATGGGGGAGCCCACACTGGCTGTGAAACAGAAGTGGGTGGTGGTCATTAGGTCATACTGGCCTGTTGGTTAGGCACCTACGATGTCCCAGGCACTTTCCTGTGTTGTTTTCTGGGTGTTATTTTCTAGTCTCACAACAGATTAGACATGTCTTTCCAGGTGGTGAATGTGAGGTTCAGAGAGTTCAAGTAACTTGATGCTCAAGATTACACATTCTTAAATTAAGCAAATGACATGAAAAGAGCAAGAGCATATTTAAAATATTAATTTCAGAACAAACCATTAAAGAATGGAAATAACGAGATCTGAATGTAAATGAGGAAATTGATCTAGGCAGCAATGTTTTAAAAGGAAAAGAGAGGAGGAACACTGGAAAGAAGGGATTTGTGTTCAAAGCAAGGCCATTTGAGATTTTGGCAAGATCTAATGCAGGTATATTCTGGAAGGACCTAGGCTTGTTAATAATAAACACTGTGGCCTCTGAGTTTGAAAGCTAGTTAATGACTCTATTACACGAGAGACAGTTGAACATGGTAATTAGTGCTCAGGCTCAGAAACCAGGCTGGATTTGAATGTTCACCCATCTTACTTAAGCTTGGGCAGGTTACTTACCCTTCTGGGGCCCTATTTTACTCATCTTTAAAAAAGAAGCCAATAATATTACCTATGTCGTGGGGTTGCTTAAGCATGACATGACGTCTACGTGTGTGCATCACAGTGCTGGAGGAATTCGGTATGCATCAGCCAGTGCTGCTGTGTGCCTTTGTCCTTGTTCACCAATCATGTATTTAGACATCCTTTACAGTGTGCCAAGCACTGGGCTAGTTTCCAGGGACATAAAGAGGGCTCACACATTATTTCTGCCTTTAAACACATTTGATTTCCCCCACATTATGCTATGCGATTCAGCAGAAGTACTACTGACTACATTTAGGTTAAAGCACTTTCCTGGACTGTCTGGGCACCAGGGATTTAAAGTCTCTATTCATCATGTTGCTCATTTGTGTAATGAACACGTCCACTCCTCCTCCCCCGCTCCTCCAGTAGGGCATTTAGATCTGTCCAGCCGGAGTTCTCTTTATGAGAGGCGCGTCCCTCGGCCCACGGGGAGACATCACGAACTCAGTGAGACCATTTCAGCAGTCTCCTCCTACGTACGTGTGCCGGACCCGCGGAAGTGGAGTGTTAGTGCCACTGACTCAGGCATCTCGCCCTCGATAACTCATTAGCCCTATCTGTGATGTAGTGTCTATCATTAGTGGGTGTATTTCTCTTTCCAAGAGTATTTTTTTTAAACAGATGACTTCATAAAGCCTTATTTTTTTTAAGCTGGAGAGAAATGTTACAAATTAGAATTTTCAGTGGCTGTACCAAACTACGGAAGACATGTGTTGAGAACACGGGTTATTCACGGCGTCTTTAACCACACCACCAAGTCGCTCATCCTTGTATTTCCTAATTTTCGGCGATGAAGGGGGTACAAGTAATTCTGCTCATAATGCATTTTGACATTGTCTAAAGGGTTCTCAGGCATCGAGGTTTAACATTAGCATCGGTTGAACAGATGAAAACTATTGGTAGGAGGGACACCATGCCCTCTTGCGTGTGCCCACAACACACTAACATGGACAGGTGAGCAGTCACGGTGGCCTCCGAGACAAGGTTGAAAAGGGACACGTCCACATAAATAAATGAGAAGGAAAGGAACACAGCAAGGCACATGCATTTAAAATAACCAAGTGAAGTGCCTAAGTAATGAAGTGAAAAGCCACTTTCATGCCAAAGAAGCCCTGTAGCGTGAGTGGGATTGTTGGGACAGTGGTGAATTGTTTACCTGTCAAAAGAGACAGACACCGGCATCCTGATCACCTTGCTTTCCCACAGAGCCAGTGTCTGTTATGGGAAAAGTGGCTGTCCTGATCATCAGGCACTAAGCAGCAAACCACCAGCACTGGAAGGGAGCGGTCGGGTCCATATTGAAATAGAGCAGAAGCCCTAGATGTAAGTGTGAACGCAGGAATGAGGGCGATGCCCCACAGAGAGGTTCTTCTGTCCCACATACAGAAGTCTAATGTGAACATTAATAAAGAAAATATCCACCAGGCTGGCCTGGCTCAGTGGTTGAGCGTCGACTTATGAACCAGGAGGTTGTTGGTTTAATCCCCAGACAGGGCACACGCCTGGATTGTGGGCTCATTCCCCAGTAGGGGGCATGCAGGAGGCAGCTGATCGATGATTCTCTCCCATCATTGATGTTTCTATCTCTCTCTTCCTCTACTTTCCTCTGAAATCAATAAAAAAAAAATATTTTTTTTTTTAAAAAAGAAAATATCCTATTTGGTGTGCATTTGAGAATTAAAAAAATCTCATTAATGTGATAAACAACTTGGGAGTATCAACCATTATTTTATTAACAGCAACAAATTAACACTACAGCATCACATAGCTTAGAATATGGCTTTAAAATATTAAGTTAAATATTTTTTTTTTCAGTGTAAAAAAACCCCAACTTTACATTTAACTTTTAACTTATTTCCTGAAACTCATTTATTTTCCTTGGGAGAAACATGTGACCCCTGTTCTCTTTTCTTGGATCGAACCACGACTGTAAATATTGAAAACATGGAATGTAATCCAGGGAAATGGTTACCCAGATGATGGAAGGATGAGAGCCTCACCTGGGAAGAGTGAAAATCTACTGGATGGAGATTGGCGGCAGCAGGAAAACAAAGGCATTGCCACACGCAAGTCTCAAGGAACAAAGGGAAGAGGTGATGTTACTGCAGCTCAGAGTTCAAGGTCACAGGGGCCAGCTCCCCTGGAACCAAAGCAGGAGCAGGACAAGGAATGGAAGCGGAGGTTTAAGCAGGTACAGACCAGCACAATAGCAAAACAGAGAGTTAATCTTACCATTTGCAACAGCATGGATGGAACTGGAGAGCATTATGCTAAGTGAAATAAGCCAGTCAATGAAGGAAAAATACCACATGATCTCACTCCTTTCTGGATAATAAAGACCATTATAAACTTATGAACAAAAATAGATACAGAGGCAGAGCTGCCTCAAACAGACTGTCAAACTGCAGCGGGAAGGCCGGGGGGGGGGGGGGGCAGGAGAGGGGAGGTAAGAGATCAACCAAAGGACTTGTATGCATGCATATAAGCATAACCAATGGACATAAGACACTGGGGGGTAGGGGAAGCCAGGGGATTGTCAAGGGCGGGGGAAAAAAAAGGAGACATATGTAATACTCTTTGTAATACTTTAAGCAATAAAAAAAAAATACTGAAAAAAACCCCAAAAACAAACAAACAAACAAACAAACAACAGAGAGTTAAGTAAATACGCGTTCCATTCTCATTTCCTCCTCCAGGGTCATGCTACACGAAGGGAAATTGATTCACTGAGATTTGGAAAGGGCACTAACTTAGCGCCCGAGAACGGCATTCTACCCACATCTCCTACACAAATGAAATCACCGGTTTCGTTCCACATACCATGCCAGTCAACCCCATTTACACACCCTGAGGGTGATGAGAGAATTATCCGCTGTCATTATGAAGATGCCCAAGGCATAAAGGAAGCATCACTCTCCTTTGGATTAGATTTAGACGGTGGCCGGCGCTCGGGCAGTTGCATTGATTCAGAATTGTGATCAGAGGTAGAGTCTGATGTTCCAGAAATCCCCATTCTTCCAAGGAGCCCCTCAAGCCACACTATGAAGGCTGCACTCAGGGGGATGTGGAAAGACACACGACCTCCTCGCTGAGACCACACTCAGTCCCTCCACGCCTCTCCACGCTGCTGTGCAGTGACAGGCACTGTGCAGAACTGCAAAGCGCCGAAGTGCAGGCTCCCGTCTTCGGAAGCACGGAAGGGGAATTATGTCTGATGAGGTAAAAAATACTTATCCGTCCATTTTATGGCCGAGCCAAACAGAGCGGACTGTGCACATGTGAGCACGGTCCGCAGCCGTTAGAAACTCACCCAGCCTAAGCCGTGCCCGGCTTTAACATAAGCATTAGCAACCCTCCCTGCCCTCCAGGGCAGCCCCAAATGCCAGCCTTTCCCACACGCACTGGTTAATGATTACACTGCCATTACCCCGGCACATTCTCCTCTAGTTCGTGCCATTAAGACATGGTTCTGTCTCATTTGGGCTTATTACTCTGATATGAAATACGTTAATATATTTTAAAAATTAGGTGACCTTTAGCATAGAATGAAGTATGAGGGCATTTGCTTAATAGAGACCAGGAAGTGAAGTCTAGGCCATCGCTATACCTCGCTCCTCCAGAGTTCACATGGTATCTGATGATGCAAAATAAATAAAAGGTGCAAGATTATGGCTTTCACTATCGGGCACCTCAGTAAAAGTACAAAACGTTGGTCAGATTTAAACCCATTTTTCTTTCCACGCAAGGAGAGAAGCACTTTAAGGAGAAATAGTTCAATGTCCTTAAATTCTCTGTCTCAGACACTCACCTAAACTTCAGTGAAGAAACAGCATGAACTTTCCAAAACCATCTGTTTGTTCTTTGAAATGGCACTTGGCTATGGCATTTAAGGACTCCCCAAGCACTTCATCCAGTGAATGGTAAATCCTATTTACCTGCAAAGAGAAAAATAGACTTTTATTTACGTAAGCAGCTCATACTTACATGTTTATTATAAAAACAGGAAGCCAGATCAGGCCTTCCTAGAGCATGTGGTATTTTACAAATTCTCTCACACACTAATAATGATATGTAATTCTCAATTTAGAGCCTTGGTTTTCATTATAAGCCAGTCGGAGAAGGACAAGTATCACATGATCTCACTCAAATGGGGAATCTAATGAACAAAATAAACTGAGGAACAAAATTGATCCAGAGACATAGAAGCATGGAATAGACTGTCGGATCTCTGAGGGAAGGTGGGGATGGGGTGGGGGTGGGTGGGAAGAGATCAAAGACCCTGTATGCACATATGTACAACCCATGGACACAGACAATAGGATGGTGATGGCCTAGAGTGGGGGTCAGGGTGGGAGGGGGTAGAGGCTGGTTAAAAGATGGCAATGGGGGAAAAAGGAGGGCATATGTAATACTTTCAACAATAAAGATTTTAAAAAATATTTGGAAAAAGAGACATTTGTGCAAGAAGTCATTTTACAGATGAGGATGGTGAGGCCCCGGGGGTGAAGTGATGTGCAAGATTAAGCAACTGGTTAGTAATAGACCCTAGCATAGTGGCCTTGAATCCTGGGCTCTAAACCTAGTTTGATTAAACACCCAGAAATAGAAAAAGATGACATCTTCCGTGTTTTCCAAGTAGGCCCTTTCCTAGAATAGTGTGTCACCATAATTTCTATGAAAGTGAAGGAAATTACGGTTGAGTCATAGTGTCCTAGACCAGCACCTCGTCTACTAATTTAAGCTCTAGCAGTTGTAAGTACGTAGGTATAAACCTGAAATTATTTAATGATCCACAGGATTTATGATGTTTGTAGTCATAGCATAAATAGTAAATAGTTCAGAAAATTGCCTGTTAATGTTTCTTAATGAAGCAGACGATTTGACAAGCTGTTGCCTTCTGAAAAGACTCGCCTGTGAGATCTTAACTAGATTGGCTCTAGATTTGCCTTCCCAAAGCCGACTATTCCCTGTCCCTCTGACCCAGCTCCCCTGCTACTATCTCCATCATTAGTGTTTCTCATCATTCTCTCTTCCTCCATCCTTTCCCCTTTCCTTCTTACCAACACACAGGCTGGCTGTTTACTATCCCAGGTGCTAGATGGCTGGAAGCAGCAGAGATTTGAAGCTCAGAAACTCCCATGTTAAGATGAAGGAAAAAAGTGGGGAGCAGGGGAGATCACAGAAAATAAAGGGGAGAAGGCATTGGATAGCATGGGGGTGGAGAAGGGCCAGAGGAGCCTCGCTCTGCACCTGATGAAGGGTACAGGTGCCCCTGATTCCAGCTCTACCCTGTGCTTTCCTCCCCCAAGTGTTTTCTTGAACCCCAGGTTGTTTAAAATGATTACAATAATTATTTAGCTTCCACGGTTTCAGGGTTTCAGGCATCCTATGATTTTAGATTCAAAGAGAAAATCTATTCAATAATCCCCCCCTGCCTCTAATCCGGGTTCTCAGGTGTATTCACTATTGCATGAGATTTATTTAATGGCAGATAAAGAAAATGTCATGACACGATTAACCCTTGTTCTG